TCTATCTATTTATATAATCTATTTGCTATAAGCAGCAGATCATCAATGCTAATATGTATTTGCATAATGTGATAAGGGTGTAGTAAAACCCAGTCTTTTTCAGCCGGTGTGCTATGCACCGGTTGGAAAATGCTGTCTAATGGAAAGGATGGGAAATGCTGTTATTGTCTTTGCTTATTCTGTCAATCAGTAATGTGCACAATGATTGTAGTCATAGTACCTGATTAGCTGGTTCAAATATTTTTGACATTTTCTTGTGAAACTCGCGGTCTCAGCAATACAGCCAAATACTTGTATCTGGAGTATTCTTTTCAGTTTATTTAATCAAGTTGTGTGACGTCATGCCCTGTTTGGATGAGGAAGGTCGTCCAGCGGACCCTCGCTTAATAGTTTCTGTTCAGTATGTCAGCATATTGGCTTGTTGCTACTCGACCCACGGTGCTTCATTCCTGTTGAGGTAGTAATGTGCCCTGATATTGGTGGAGAAGGGGGAGGGTTGGGCTTGGTTAGGAATGTGTGGGTTTTTCTGTTATGTGTCTTAGAACATGCTTATATAACAAAGCTGGACTTCTTGGTTAACCGGATAGCTTGTCAGATTTAAGGTGGTTTAAATAGACTTATATCTTTGTTCACTTACATGTAGCACCGACTACTATAAGTCCGACAAGTTATCTGACTAAGCAAGAAATCCTGCAGGCCCCAATACTCTTCTGAAGATTTCCTTTAACATAGTAGTGCTTATACCTGTATAGGTTACCTTTATAGAGGAACATGTGATTGTATAGATGTGTGTTTTATTGCAATTCTATGCAAGTTATACATTTTGTACTATTTTAATATTTGCATAATATGAGGGTAATTATTAAACCTTTATTCAGTTTCAATTTGAAGTGGAGTACTTTTGGCACTGATGGAAGGAAGCAATAGCGTCGTCTTGTTTCCACTCGCACGCCGGCATCTCCAAAGTCCCTCTTTGCCTTCTTTCGCGTAGAGCGAGCTCTCAGAACAGTTTTTTTCTCTCTTTTTTTTCCTCTCTTTTTGATTGTGACGGGCATGGTGGAACTGTTGCCTTGTTATGGCTCATCACCAATTTCACATGGAGTTGCTGATTGGAGTTATTGCTCTGGGAGGTGCAGGCAGATGAAGCTTTAGAGCTGCTTCCATGCAATACCTACCAGTACCTCATGTCGGCTGCCTTTTTCTTTGTTTTGGTCCAGGCTATTGCAACTAGGCCTCCTGAAAATTTTGGTTGGCTTCCTCTGAAATGGCAACATAAAAATGCCTTATGCAAACTGGATTTGTTTGCTATATATTAATGGAAATGGTAAATGTTAGTTAAAATTTGCAGAAGCAAGACCATTATGGAATTAATATCAAATGTTAGATTTATTGGTGAATAATCCATGCTGGTGATAGCAAATACTGTACTTGGTGGTAGGATGTCATATTCCTACCAAAGGTATTAATATTCTAAGGGTATTAAGGTTTTGTCAGATTCTTTGTTTGTAAAAACAAAATACCATGAGCGATGTTTCTCATACCCCTCCTTTAACCTCCTTCACCACTTACTTCCTTGAGAATGTGGTCAAATTTAATGATCATAGTGATTTACAAATACGATTTTGGTTTCATTGACCTCCCCCATTTATTCTGAAGCCACTGAAATTTGTGCGTGTGGGAGGGCCTGGACTGGCCATGGATTTTTAGCCTTTTCATGCCACTTATTGGTCCCAAATCAAGGCTTAAATGTCAGCAAATGGATGATACAAACAATACAGTGATTTGTACAGTACTTCAGCTGTTCGGGTTCAATTGGCCCCGTCCCGTAGAAGGCCCCTTGTAATTGGGCCATTCCTCTCACCAATCAGGGGTGTGTGGTGGGGATACCTGCACTGTAGGACGGCTGCTTCTCGAAAGGCTCTGCCAGAATTTTGAAGGGTTTGATCTAAATTAATCGCAAAGGCAGAACATGTTGCCACCACAAGCTGCTTTTCCTTTTTGTTAAAATGGGGGAGACTTTCATTTTCTTATTTGCTTTTCTGTGATTCAGATGTCAATGTGTCTGCGAATCTCCGCTCACCTGTCAGCCAGGGACATCACCGTCGAGGTTATTTCGATTCCGTTAATGAAAAAGAGAAATATGCACTCCTGGGAACTCTACAGATTTGCTGTACAATAACTGTCATTCTGACTAGCGTGATGTGTAATAAAACCTGTGTATGTTGATATAATCGGTAACGACAGTCCCTCTGAGTGTAATATCAGTGTGTATCCTCCAAAGTGATTTTGCTTTTGGGTCTCCACTTGTGGTGTGTAGCGTTCCATATTTCGAAATGCTTTGTTCTCACGCTTCTTTCAAGCAAAATGTTTTTTTTGAATATGTGCAACTGATTTTTTTCTTACATCTTTTTAAGTTAATCTCTTATGTTGCTCTTCTTCCCTGGTGGTCAATGGCTGTACTGTTTTGGCACTTGCTCTGTTCTATAAACTGTAAAAGTTGTCCTCCACCCATTCCTATCCATTCTTATCCACTCCTCTGTGTACATCACAGCAATGGTTTTCCTCGCTGTTTCCTTTGACTTTCTAAAGAATGAAAAGCCCATCTGGAATGTCGGAATCTGTAAGCACTCATTCTAACCTTACCACATTGCATTGCACACCATCAGCATTTCTTAAAATGGGCATGCCGTGCATATCTGTGTTCCCATCTCCCGTGTGTCATGGAAGCCACTCTTTCTCTTGCCTGTCATGCTCCTTTTTCTCACTGCCTTTGTCCCTGGGCTTTCGGGAGAACTGATCTGTTTCCTATATTGACCTGCTTGTGTTTTGCTCATTTCTGTGTGCTATACACATGTTTCCTGTTTGTCAGTGAGTCCATATGGCTTCACCTGTGCTTGTCTTGGCAGCCAGGACAGGGTACATTTTTGACAAGTTTGGCCATTTTCTTGTGTATTTTTAGAGGATGTGCCAATATTCCGAAACTTTCCTTATTTAGTTAGGAGGGTTTTGTGACGATATTCAGTAAATATATTTAAATGTCATTTAAATGGTTATTTATAAATATGTATTTTAACTTATTTAAACCATTATTTAAATTGAAGTTTAAATTATACCGTTAAACATTAAAATTATCTGTCAAAGTCACCCATCAAACTCAGTAGGTGGGTTCTAAACGAAATCTAACATCTGATTACATTACGAACTAAGTCACAACAGATCGATCTCACCTAGTCCATTAAATCCTCATTTATAATCATTTCCTGGGGCTGTATCACATCCTAACTTCCCAAAATCTTAAATAAACTCTCCTAACATTAGGACTGTTAAGCTGTCCTAACTTTCACTGGCCTCCACATACTGCATCTGGCTGCTGTTTCATTGCTTTTAGACAACGAATGAAATGTATGGTGCCCCATTACGGAGCCCTATCATGACAATAGCAGTAAAAAATTATATATATTGTGGCCATGTTTTAATATACAGATTCTCCTCTACTTACGAATGAGTTACGTTCCGAACGGCCGTTTGTAACTTGAAATGTTTGTAAGTCGTCATTTTAAAGGTATACACAAGTAGTAAGAACTAGGATGCTGGGAGTACGCACGCTACGCTGCTGCGCGGCGGGAGTAGCGGCCAGAAGTCATACTAGAAGGAATTGGCACGCAGAAAAAAAAAAATTGATGTTGCGGACAGGGATTGGGAGTCCGAGGAACACAATTTGGACTTACAGTCCTCTTCGTTTGTATGTCTGAAAAGTTCATAAGTTGAAAGTTTGTAAGTAGAGGAGCGTCAATATTGTTTGAACAAATTAATAAAATGTGGTCACGATTTAACTAAAACGAGGGAATGAATTGGTAAAACATGGGTATGATATATAAATTTTATTTATATGTCAAGAGCTGGGCTGCATAGTTATCTTCGAGTTAGGAAGTTTGGAAGCTTATATGACACACTTTTCCTATGTTAGGATAGGAACAATGACTTTGGAACTGTACATTGTAATGACACTTTGCATATTTCAGATCCTAAAGCTAGTTACCATGGATACCAAACAGTTAAGATAGGGTCTGCAAGACAAACAGTTATAAATGAGAATTGAGTTCACTAGGCAAGATCAATATGTTATTGTTCGCAATGTAACCAGTCAGATGTTACGTTTTGTTTGGAGTCCGCTGAGTTTGATGGATGACTTTGACAGATAAATTTAATGGTTGTGGGTAACCTTTAAATTGTGAGTTAAATAATAATTTAAATGACTTTTAATTATTTGTTGAATATTGTCACAAAACAGCCTCCATAATTTCAGATTCTAGGCTATGTTGTGCTACTGCTTTTCAGTCTTTTTACATGTGAAAGCCAAAGGTTTGTCAGCTTACTGTTATTTGTATTAAGGTGATGTGTAGCTGGTGCACAGTGTTTGGAGTGGGCCTTGCTCTTACGTAACGTATTGATCAAGTCAGCTGGGTATGTTTATGTGGACCGAAGTCCAAAGAATTAACCATTTCCATGAGTTTTATTTAATGACCATAAACTTAATGATTAGAATAACCATATTAAGCCACTTACTTGTAAACTCAAGGCTAAGGTTGACTTGTGTAACAGTTCATTTGCAGAATGTGGGTGGTTCTGATGAGTTGAGGCTGGCTTTGAAGGTGCTGGCATACTGATGGCTGGATTGAGTGTCTCGCCTGCAACCATGTCATGACAATGAGCAGTCGCTGAATTTAAGTCCTTATAATCTTTTTGATATTTAATGACTTTTTTCTTGTTTCATTACCATCAACTGTTTACATTTGCTACAGTCTGCCACATTTCTGTTGAAAATACATCCCCTTGAATATTTGGAGTTGCTCTTGCTTTATCTCCACTATCATTTTCATGAATATTAGTAAGAGATAAACATATCACGTGTTTCAAATTCAGTATTCTATCTATATTTGTTTTTTGTTAAGAACCAGACTATAAGTGTATTTATCATTGCTGTGGGTGGAGGGGTCTTAGCTTGCTATGGCTACACATGTGCTAAAATGGGAACAATACAGAGAAGGTTTGCATGGCCCCTACACAAGGTTGACATGCAGATTTGTGAAGAATTTCGTATTTTTGCCAAAGACCTGGATAGCTCATTTGGTTGAAGATCTCTGTTGTCGTACTGAAGGAACTGGGTTCAAATCCTGTATCAATTGGGCAGAGTGTTTTTACTCTTGCTTTTACAATTTGCTTTTGAGCAAGACCTTTAACCCCAACTCATTGAGAGACTATTTGACGCGGCTTTTTCAGTTGCATGTTGTTTTAGATGAAAGTGTCTGCTAAATGAACGTGCAAAAAGTTCCTGAAAAAGCTATAAAGCATGGGGTGACTCTTCAGTGGGAGGGGGGCTGATAACTCTATGGGTTGACGGAACGAAATAATGTATATCTTGGAGTTAAAGAAAAGACATCAAAAACTGAGCCTGATGGTAATATTGATCAGCTCTGCTCTCATCAGCTTTTTGGTGGTATTTATCCATTCTGTGTATTTCATATGTTTTTATTGACATTTGTTGATTTAATATTTTGGGAAATATATGTTCATATCAAAAACTGTCACATGGATTACTTTCGAGAAGTTAAAGTAGTGGGAATAATGAATTGGCTCCTGAGATTTTGTTACCTCGAACTTTAGCAGTGCTGGCTGAGCCAATGTAAGCCAGTGAGCAGCTGGTTGTGGGTAACTGGTACAGAGAGTGGTTGTTACCTGTATGACTTACAGCTACTGGAGATGAGGCTCATGGTGGTTTCACAGTTTTCCTAAAACAGAACTGGGGAATGCTGGTGACAGGAGAGAAGACACAGACACAGAAACGAGTTACATCTTCTGTATAACTTATAAATAAGATTTCATCAAATGATTGCTGGCTTTTGCTTTACCTTTACCACAATTAATCTTTACTCCATTTTCGGAAAACGGTCTTCAATTGAAGTCTTATGAGACAAGTGTTAGCAAAATACCTGAATAATAATTTGCTTATCATCAGATCTTGGATAAGCGGCTTTCCCCAGTGTCTTGTATTCAGGGAAATGCAGGGTTTAGATCAGGGATGCCCAACTCCAGTCCTGGGGAGCCGGAGCCCTGTGTAGCTTAGTTCTTTCCCTGTTCCACCATAAATGATTCAGCTCACGAGCTGTATGGTAATTAGCACAAGCAGTTGAATCAGGTGTGTTAAATGAGGGGAAACCCAAAAATGTGCAGGGTTCTGGCCCTCCAGGACTGGAGTTGAGCACCCCTGCTTTAGATAGATAGGAGCATGTCTGTTAAGGTGACAACACTTAGACGGTGGTATTTTTAGATATCGACTTGAATGTTTATTCTTCAGTGTGCCTCTACTCTTTGTTGTCATCATATTGAATATTTTCTATTGTCTGCACCTCATTATTGAATACAGCTGTTGGCTGCAGTCTACCTCGCTGTCCTGGACGGTTATCCTTTCCTGAGAGAAGCAGGGTGTTTGTTCCTTACATGAATAACTTCTGCTAAGTAAGCTGACCCCCACACCCCCCAACATAAAAATTAAACACTCTATCTGTTTAAATGTTTTTCTATTAATTACAGAAATCCATATAAATAAACAGCAGTTTGGGGGTATTGATTTTGGTTAAGAAATCAAAATTCAGTATTAACTTGCTTAATATGCGGAATGCTGTATACTGCTGGTGTCGGCTGGAGCTGAGAGACCACCATCTTGCCCCCAGCTGTTAACTGGGATTAAATAGTGAATCACAAACCCGGCCCTCTTGCATTCATCCCAGGAAAATCCCGTAATATAATTCCCATCATTCATCTCTTCACATTATGAAGCACTTTTATTCTTTCCATATGTTTGGTACTTTGTGGTGGTCAGGGGATCCCTTCTAAGCATGCTTTCAAGTTTTTCTCTCATGTTTTGTGAAAATCAACCAGCAGGTGGCACTGCATCTCCATACAACAGGGGTTGTTTATTCTTTTCCACTGAACCTGAGGCACTGAGATGCCATGTGGTAAAAGGTGGTAATTACACATCAAGGTCTCTGGTCTCTGCTGGCTTTTCAGAATAATTACTGACTTTCTCCTTAGGATCAATATAGTGTATCTGTCTATCTGGAGCTGCAATAAATATATTAAATACAATTAAATGATAAATTTGTATAGAATTTGTTTTTATTATAAGTGATTAACAAACTATACAAATCTATCTGGGCCCCTGTAAGTATAATTTTCCAAATAATAAAAGAAAATAGTACTATATAAATAATCAAGCAAGACTTTACTTGGTACTGGGGTGGTCATAATGCTTTAAGTTTAACTGTTTAATCAAAGTAAATTTAAAAAGTAGGTCAAAGTTTTTTTGTTAAGAAACTCATATATTCCCTTTAACCTAGTTCATCTGTGGGGCAGTGTTATGGAGAAGAGTGGGTTTGCAAGCTGTTGCGGCTTCTTAATGAAAACAATGCTAGATTTTTTTTTTGTCATGCATTTTTGCCTAATTGACTCTTTGGTGCTGGGTGGCAGGCACCCTCTACCCCTTCTACCCAAACTCAGCTCTTTGGTGGGGGGTGGACTTTGTAGGCATTCAGCTGCACCCAGCAAGAACTCCGGAAGCTCTTTGAAGCGAAGGCGACTGAGTGAAGCAACAATGGTCTCCATTATTGACAACCCTCAAACAGTCCTCTTTCTCTTTTGGACAGGAACTAGACACAGTTTGGAGGGAACGTACCCACAACCATCGAAGGGGGTATAGGTCCTCTGCATAATTAGCCTGACACAGTACAGTTCTGTATAATTGAAAATGTTGCCAGTATGGTTTGCATCTAACGACTCCATAAAAGGAATGTTACATTATTTGTGCACATTTACAAGGAGAAAGTAATGCTGGAATAGTAGATATTGCTTTTGGCAGAATGCAAAAATAATGTCATATATAGAATTATCATTTAGTATTATCATTGGGTCAAGCAAGGATTGAAAAGGGGAGGGATTAACCCCTACCCAGCCCAAACCTTAACCATAAGTAACCAAACAAATTTGATACTTTTGCCATTTTTACTTTTTTGATTTCATTCACAGATCTTTGTGGGGACCTGAAAATGGTCTCCACAATGTAATACAAACATAATCAACACACACAGTCAATAGCAACAGGCTGACATTTGTGCCATCACAAGAATCTGTAGAACACAGACAAACATTCTGCTCCCAAAGTGTTTTGTTTTTATTTTTTAATGTCATGGAGTTCCCTTTAATTATATAGCTCAGGAGCCTTCAGCCTTGGTGACAAATCACTTGTCCTCATCAAAAGCCATGTTTTTTGGACAAAATATTTAGGATGTGGTTGGAACAGGCCAATATTTGCTGGTTGGAAACACAAAGAATTTTCAAAGGACAAGCAGAACAGTGCACAAATATAATATAATATGATATAATGTAATATGTAATAAGCAGCAGCTTTCAGTTCTTTGAAGTACAGACTCATCTCTCAGGAGTTTGGCGGAACCTTTAGGTCGCTGCCATCGTATACAACTTGGTTCCTGAGCTGTTTTGAAAAAACTGGGCGTTAAGCTAAAACCTTTCATCACAGTTTGATTTCATCACCTGACTACTTCATTCATCAGTGGGGTTTTTTTTCTGTGTTGATTTTGAAGAGTGAAGTGGTTGAAGTGCTCTCAGGTGGACGGCCATCCTGTCCAGGGTGTGTTCTGCCACATGCACTGCTCCTC